GAGCAAGAAAGAGAGAGGCACAGTAAGCAAATAAGCAAAAGAAAACACAGTAAATAAAAGAGAGGGGATTAAATGTGAGAAAACCGTGTGCCTGGGGAAACAGCAGAGTGTGTTAGCAACTCTGTGAGAGGAGTCTGGGAAAATCAGCATGAGAAGTGAGAAGAGGAAGATGGACAGACAATACTTGTAAAGGAAAGATTTAAGCACCATCAACAGTCAAAATAAACATGTGAGTGTTTCAATGTGATCTTAGCATTGCCATTCAAGATGGGTTTTCATCCCTCAGTTAAACTATGGCTTCTAAAGCCAACATTTCACCATCAGCTCAAAAAGACGGACATCATACATTGGCTTGCTACTGCAGCAATACGATACTGGGAACAAATGCGTGCATTGCTGAAGCACTTTCATAAAACTCCCCATCTCCCTCCCTCTCTTTCCCTTTCTCTCTCTCCTTGCCTTACTGCGTTCAGGTGGGGACAGCTGAGGCAGGGGAGCAGAGGGAAACCTCTGCTGGAGCTCCTTAACCTCTGAATGGAAATAATAACGCATCGATGTGTGTACATTTCAGCGTATTGTCGAGCCCAGCGCATGTTTGTTTAGATGTTTAAAACATTCTCTGCATATGTCGCCATCTTATAGTGGGTGCCCTGACACGCTATTTTAGTCTCATGGATCAACAGTGCGGCTCTCTGCGTTATGGATGTCAGAAACCATGGCCGTTGCCATGGTGATGCCACACTGCAATATAAGCCTGCCCGCCTGCCGATGCTTGCAGCAGCGGAGCTGGGAAAGACGACAGTGGAAGAGGGGTGGGGGGGACAGACTAGAGTAGAGGGGTCTGCGGCAGGATCCACCAGAATGCTAATCATCCTTTCTCGACAGTTTGTCCTTCATTATGCAGGAGACAATGCCCCGGACAACAAAAAGGGCGTTAATGTGTACATAAACACACAGGCAAACGTACGTAAGCGTATATCCATGCATGAGTGGGCACATACCCTCCACATGTATATACCGGCTGGAATATACCAACAAGGTCATATGGATGAATAGACTAAGAAATAAACCATCCATGCACACTTTCATGCCTCAACACATTTATATACATTGACACTGTAACATGTGTCAGTACTGCAATGCTTAATCTAATGGCAACCAGCAGCCTATACCCTGCTGCTGACACATCCACGCCCTTAACAAATGCTCAATTATTAACGAGACACAAAATGGATCTAATTGCTCACTGCAGCCCAACGTTTCCATCAGCATTCCTGCAACGTTCCCCGGAGCAGTTGGAGTTATTGCTGTATAAGAAAGCTCTCTGGGAAAAAATACACTGATATGCACAATATTTTCCGTACTGCTGGGATTTATGGTCGGAACAGTGTAAAGTATCAGGGGGAGAAAGTGGAATTGCAATTACAATGGTGGCCAAGTTGACTTTAATCTTATCAGCATTTTTATTGAATTCAGCGTATAAGGTTGTGTCTTATGTACAGTGCATATTGAAGTGCAGATCAGAGGCCGGGCTTAGTTTAAAGAGGTTGGGGACAGTGTCAAGGTCACAAGTCATTTCTGGTGAAGGCGTATCATCTGCATAGTGTAATTAAAATGATACTCTGGGGTCACACCATTCTCATTTAAGAGTCTCAAAGACTTAACTCCCGACATGATCTCTGGCCTTTCTTTACTTTTATTTGGGAGGGCATTAAACCAGTCATGTTTTATAAAGAATTCCACAAGGATCTATGGTCAGCCTCTTCACAGTTTCATCTTCTTGTTAATGCTAATAAAGGATGCAAAGGGGATGCCCTAGTTTTGCTAATGGTAGCTCATTAAGCTTAGCTTGCTGGATTCAGAGCAGTGGGTTCACCCCCGGTGATGCAGAGTATCTACTTTGTCCATGGTTTCTGCTGGGTAATTATTGGCAATACAGCATGAGCAAGATACTTTAACACTCAATCTCAACTATATCCATTTACCTACTTACAATATTTGGAAGTATCCGACAGCACCACAGGGAATAGACTGTACCCTAGTGTGAGTACCCTTGTTGGTCGTGGTCCATAATAGCGAAACCCTCTTGTGTGAGGGTTCAAACAACACATCTGGAGGACTAGCAAGCACTGTGACAGTGACAGTTTAATAATACCACGTTGTCATACTGCATACCCTTGGGTACAGCAGGTAGTTACAGCGCTGTGATCCCAAGGCCAATGTTATTCCCAGTGCTCCACAGTGGGAAAAGGATTGGGAGGAGGCGAGATTCCGCAATGACAGACAGACAGAAAGAGAACGAGAAAGAAAACACAGACAGGGAAGTCACAGGGGAAGAGAGGCCTAGCATGAGGTGAGAGCTCACAGGAAACTTGGTAACTAATGGTCCTTCTCCTCGCGCCAATTACAGAGCTAGTCTCCCTAGCTCCTGGGCTCTATGGAGACCATCCAACATGGCCCCATTCCTCACCCACTCAACCAATCCCCATTCCTGATCTTTCAGAACGGAAATAGCACCGATAGTGTTAAAACACAAGGGGTGTGTTGATGTGGGCATGTTGCTTGCGGATAGAAAATGAAATATGATCCAGTTTGTCGCCCTTGCTGTACCTCAGCAGCAGCCTCATTGAAATGAATGAGGTTTTGTTATTTAATACAGCGATAATGTCCAAAAAGCGGCCTAACTTTACAAAAAGTGTTTTCTCCATAAATTGCCTTATGTTGTTTATAACCATAATTTGTTCTACATTTTTTATTTCCCTTCTCTCAGCCTAACCCACTGTCCATGTTTTTAGGATGCCATATGGTTTGTGGTCCCACCTGACAAGCCTGGAGCCCCAGAGGAGCCCCAGAGGAGCCCCAGGCTGCCTCTCCTACAGCCGAGGCCCCAGGGTCCACTGCTGCTGGTGCAGGAAATCTGGCAGGCTGGGCAGGCATGTGGAGCCTCAGCCCAGGCGTGCAGATCCTCGACCCCTGGGGGACGCAGACTCCTACACTGAGTGGGTAATATATTCACAACTCTCCCCTGGCCGGGGGCTTAGAGTCTGAGAATACTCCACGAGGACCTGACTGCATACACTGACAACATTCACAAATGAATATGTTAAGCAAGGCTTTGCTACACCCTTTAGGCAGGCTTAAATATATAAGTGGCTATCATCACAAAGGAAATACGGCTTTGTCTAGAGTTGTACAAATGTGCTAAGTATACCTTCAGAGCACGCCATAAGGAGCACGAGAATGTAAATAAGTCTGGCAAGATATCATTAATCTCTTCACTAGTTTCTTCCTCAGACATCTCCCAAAGGAATCTTTTCATCAAGTACTAAGAGAAAAAATAACCTCAGAAAAGCTGACCTACTCACAGAACTCTTAGATGAGCACTATTTGTCACTTCATGGGGTACTCATTTAATTGAAAACACGTAAAACTCAAGAGTGGGTGCCAGACAGGGTTAGCCACCTTTCTATCCCCCGCAGGACCTTGGCAACATCCAAGCAACAAGATGAAAACCCATTCAACGCAATCAAAAGAAGTCTCCATAAGAATCCAACATTAGACTCTGCCATTCACTGCAGTGACGCTTTGGTAACCTCTGGCTCAGTGGAATTAGACCAATGCAGTCGATTACTGAGGACAGTGGTCTCTGGGAGCCAGTTAAGAGTTTACAGAAAGATGTATAGGGGACTTAAAAGATAACTCATTAGGGAAAATGTCTCCACTTGGCAGTATCCATAGTGTGAGGTCTTCAAAGAAAGACGATTTAATCTCGGCTGCAGTGGAATAATTGCTCCTGCTTGTCAGTTGTTAGAAGCTACAGTAAAGTAATCTCTCCTGTAACATCGAAATGTTTGTTAGCCCATAATGGGAAAAATTGAATATATAATAAACAGGTTTGAAAGCAAAACCTACCCGAAGCCTCAACATGAAATTAGATAACACATTATTGTCGTCTCTTGAATTGTTTTGTTTCAACATATTCAGATACAGCTCAGTGTCACAAACGGATACATTGAAATACCAATTGTACAGTATCCCTTATACAGCTCTACTGTATAACCCATTTTACCATTACAACCTAATGCGAGCACATCTTTTTGTGTAATTGTATAGATTGGGTAAGAAATGTGTTCTTCAGCCTCTTATGCTTAACCAGAGGAACACTGAACCATCTGTTTAACGGCATGAGCAGAGATTCTTAAAAACAAGACAAAAAAAGACCACGTTCATACGTAGCTGTTTATGCAGCTCAAAATCTTCCTGACTCAAGCATTTAGCCCTGTGTCTTAGTTTTAAGCTGTACAGAAAGACAGCGTTAAGTGAAACAGTGAAGCCATACTGCATACTATTTAAAATCAAAGACATATGATTATAAATAATAACAAAAAAATCTGCCACTTTACTTAAAGTGACTAATCCTTTGAGAAAAATAAATATGCAGTTGTGCCTTTCTAATTTAAACTCTGCATTCCCTTAATACCACTGGCGGTTATATGCTAATATGTCATGCCTAAAACACATTTCACACATCATCAGCCACTCATGCCAGAAATACAGTATGTTCATTTTAGCCAATTGGGTGCACAGCTAGACTAATCCTCAAATAATCTACTCTAACCAATCACAGGAAAGCAGAGTTAATTTCTACTCCGCACCATGCCACCTCTCCAGCAAGGAGAAAGTGATGCCAAGTGCCTCTTTTCCAACCGGTCCTGCCAAAGTCTGACATCCAAGCTGGCAAATGTCCGGCCATGGGACGAGCGCAGGAGGCAGCGATGGCTCACATCCTGACCCAAAAATAACAAGCACAACAAAGATGCTCGCGATACAGCCCAAGGCGGACATTTTGTTTGCCTAAACTCCAAACACACATGCATTTTCAGCAATAATCGGTGTCACCGGGTGTCATCTCCCAGCTGGAAAAAATCATGTATCAACATAAACAAAACCGCAATCAAGCGCAAGTTTAAATGAGATGTGAAAAACAAATGCACACTGACCTCCAAGCTGTACTCCTCCACAGTCCTCTTAAGCGGGTCCACAATCTGCCAGCAAATGAGGATGCATAAGTCGATGAGCAGCATCCCGCCAACGATGATCAACAACTTCTGGTCCTTTATGATCTGGAGGGGGAGGGGGGGAGATAAGATGCTTGCATTAGCCCAACAACAAACACCTGCTTGTGTTAGTAATTGCATGTGTTTGTTGAGCCATTTCAAACAACATTTCTTATTGACCAGTGTAATTATGTGATTCTCATCCCATCTCAGGACCCAGCGCCCTGCTGGTTTCATCCTAACATCTAATCAGGGACTGATTACAATGTGTTTATCTGCAATTAACCACCTACAAGGATGGGAAACCAGCCAAACTGAATGTCCAAAAGACCAAAACCTGGTTCAGAATTTGATGATGAAGCTCTTTAAAGCTGGCTACACACCAACCCGATTTTGGGAGTCAGAGGCCGTCAGAGGCAGTCGGGCATTCGCGGCGCCCTACTCAGGTTGGTGTGTCCCGCACTGTCGTCTCTTTACGGCACCTTTTCACACCTCCCGCGGCCTGGTCAGAGAAAGTCGGCCCAAGCAATCACTCTGATTGGCTGTTCACACTACCGCTGCCTGCTGGTAAGGACAGTTATTGCCACTCGTCGACTGAAGTATTTGCGGTGTGTTCGTAGGCGGGCGGCGTAGGCGGGCGGCGTAGGCGGGCGGCGTAGCCGACGCAGGCGACGTAGCTGTCAGGACGCCTTCGGTACGCGTTCTTTGGTCTCAGGTGGGTGTGTAGCGGCCTTAACACAGTGTTACATGTTGGCCAAGGATTAAGAACCCCTGGTAAACATTCAACGTGTCAAAAAACTATGGCAGAAAGCCAACGCTGTTTACCACTAAAGCTCCTCTTTTGTACCATGAACTTTGGAGGGATGAAAGCCATGACCTGTTTGTGATCTTTATTTATAATAGTGTTTGACTGTCTGGAACAGCAGATGAAAGCAAAGGTCAGGGAACACAGGCTGGGCTGTTTGGAGAGTATCACATAGCCCAGATGCAACACAGTGGTCTCACTCAGGACTCCATCCGCTGGTGGGCTCAGGATGAGATGCATAGGGGGGTTGTTTTTTGATGTGGTGTCTTTTGATGGTGTTGACATTGAACAAATACTGGCAGGGCAAGGCGAGAGACATTCCTGGTAGAAATACTGCAATGTTTGCAAATAGTTTAGATGAGGATAGAAGCGGAGCAGGACACATGGCTGCTTCAGGCCAATGACCAACATATTCTACACCAAGATGGACACCAATAAAAAAAAATCCTGTTTATTTTGAAATACTTCTGGTCAAGTCTGGCTGAAAATACTAATATTATAATATTCTAACAAGTAAATAGTTGTAACAAAGACATGCAAGATGTGTGATATTTAAGGGATTCAAAACAAATATAAAAGCTTTAGAACACCATCTGCTCAACTCTGAAATGAAAGGCTGCCAACTGAGTGTGTTAGACAAACTACCTAATGACTCTAAATGATATATAGTGTTATGAACTGTTTTATTTTCCTATGGGATATTAGCACTCATCATACCAGTTGGGTTTGAACAGTTTCATGTCTGATGACTTTGATCCATAAAATACCAAATGAGTGAAAAAAACGTTAAATGTGCACATGACCCTGACAGGACTGAGAAATAAAACATTGACATGAGTGTTTCTATTCCTGCCACTAAGCAAGATCCATCCAGTCTCCATGAGGTGGGGTTCAAAGCTCTGAAAAACTGATAGTATACCTTACGTTTTGGGTACAATTTTCAGGGTCATGAATCCACATTCAGGCTTAACTTCATGTAAGTTATAGTAGTTGAGCAACAAAATAAAAAAGCTAATTGGTGTGTTTGTTTAGCTTTGACCTATGCCTGTCTCTGTGTGTGAACTCAGCAATATGTCACTAAGGAGTACTCAGTAAATTACAGAGATAGGCAGACTGACAAATAGCTGCTGCAGAGGCCTGAGGGTAACGGTTCGGTTTTGAAAGTGCGTACGTTCGACTGTCTGTGATGTGTGTTTGTGTGCGTGTGTGTGTATTTGTAGAGGGAGGACATTGATTGACAGCCCCCCCGAACAACACTGTCTTCGTCACTGAGCTCTTTAAGAAGTGAAGGAGTGCCGGCCGCAGACCGCCGAGTGGAACCTGGGCCGGGGGAAGCAGTGAGGGATGCAGTTGCAGCCCCTATGTTTGAAGAAAAATATGGCTAACACTTGTGCTCTTTCCCCCTCCCCTGACAGCGCTTGACAGAGATTTCAGGGCACAAACAGCAACTATCACTCTACTGAAGCCAAAGCACCTGCACTCCATCAGTGTGGAGGAAGTGCGATGCGTGTGTGTCCTGCAAACAGACCCGGGCCATGAACCAACAGAGAATGCATCTTGAGGTTTAAAGGCTGAAGTGTGCAGTAGGGTAAATACTGCTTTTGAAGAAACATTGGTTTTGTCTCTGTTAGCAAAGGGGGGAAAGGGAACTGAGCAGACGTAACTGTGTAAATGAAGGATAAGGACTACGCTACTGCTGGGAGAAGCATAACTGTTATACAGGCCAGGTCTAATGTGTCATTATTTTATTTGAAAGAAATGTATGATCTTGGGTCCCCCAGATTGCTGATTTGTCTATACTCTTTGTCTTTTAACCTGTCATCTAGATTATTTGTACCTCCATATATCCTTTGCCCTCTTTTCCAACTTACTCTTTTTACTTTTTATAGTGTTCAACCTACTTTCTTTGCCATTTGTGCCACATTGTTTGTCTTGTCCCGCCCTGCTTTGCCTCCCTCCGTCTGTCTCCCCACCCTCCCTTCTGCCATTACTTCCCCGCATCCCTCCACCCCTCTTTCCTCCCTCTCTTCCGGCTCTCTCTCTCTCTCTCTCTCTGGCAGGCCACCCACACTTCCTCCAACATGCAAGAGGGTTAGAGAGAGAGAGAGAGGAAGAGAGATGAAAAGACAGGGAGAGCTAGATCTATAAATATAAAAAGGCCAAGCACTGTTACAACAATCAGTAAGCTCGACACCCGTTTATATATAGGCCAGTGAAACAGATTCTGTCAGATGTTTGAAAAGCCATTTGTATTTCTGAATCAATTTTTTTTTTCACAGAGAAGATTCTAAAAGCAGGTGCCAGCGGCTGCCAGTCTTTCACAGCGTTTGTTAAAAGCACAAGTGTGAGTACAAGCACCCACACACCAGTGTTGGGCTTCCATAAGGCATGTGAAGCTTCCTAGATGAGACATGTCTACGTGTTATATGACCAAGTAATTATCCTTTCCAACAGATGAATAATCAAAGTATAAACGGTTCAGAAACAGATTTAATCAGTATTCACATGTATGTACCAGTAGTAGCATTACACGTAGACAGCTTGTTTGGGAAGTAGCCCATTTCTCATCAAATTACTAATATTTATGCCGTGTAATTTAAGCAGTCAAATTTAATATAATCAAATCTTACTGCTATAAATAACATTTCTCTGAGTTCATTATATAATATTATATATAATTCAATACCTTCTTCTTCATCTTCACATTCTTGAAAATGGCGTGCACCCTCCACGTCTTGGCAAACATGGCGCCAAAAGCTGTCGTGTATCCGACGATGAGGATCCATGTCCGCACCTATAAGAACAGCAGAAACACACATAATCATGTGATGTCTTAAAGTGTTGATCAAGGCTTAAAACAACATCTGATCTGACAGGTATTTGCATTTCTCTGAAGAAGTTAATTCAAAATAGCATTGTAAAGTGTTCTAAAAATAAGTCGCTGTCAGATTTATTTTTATTCTCCCGGTGTGGAGCTGTGGGAGAGCGTCCTGGACCAGCTGTCCCACTCCTGAGAGCATTTCATCTTAATGAGAAACAAAAAGTAGACCTTTTACTGCTTTAGCACAAGGGACACTGCTGACGTGTTCTCAAAGCTTAGAATTGGAATAAAGTCTTTGAACTCCTAAAATAGCTATAGCATGTGTCTGTATACTGGGTGTGTTTGACTGCTGCATGTGTATTTGTGTGAGCCCCTTCTGCACCGCACATACTTTAAACCCTTTACACATTTACACCTGGCTCTCTTCACCTGCCATTCTCTAAATAAATAATAAAGCCGAACAGGGACAATGCTCTGGGTAAAGAAGACAGAAAAAAACAATTACACCATCTATTCTCAGGGAGACCAGCACGTATTGATTGGTGGTGAATGGATCAACCTCTGTGGTCCTCTGCAGCGCGTCTGAAGTGACACGCTCTGTTTCGGCTCTGCAGCAAAGCTTCAGCCAGGTGGTGGCAGCTGGAGACGTGCCCTGCCTAACATTACGCTGGTGTGCATGTCTGTGTTACTCTCTGTGTGTGTGTGGGGGAGTGGCATCTCAGTGGAAACCGCTTATCACTGTAATCAAAACTCTTTAATTAATCCAGCATCTACATAGTCACATAGTAATGCTACCTGGGGGGAGACACTTAATGTGTCCCATATAGCTAGAGAGAGGGAGAGATTCAATCAGTTATCTCTTTGAGTTAGTCACATGTTATAATAGGATTCTCCATATTTCAGCTATTGTAATTACGGAGAGTCAACCCTAACTTCCTTATTTTATGTTTTAGTAAAGTGTTGAGCTAACTCACAGTGCAGAGGGTCTCAAACTCTTTGTCCGAGACAAAACCTCCATCCAGGCCAAACAGGAAGATGGAGGCGTAGGAGAGCATTCCTCCGAGGATGATCAGGTTGTTCATGTAGGGACTGGACATCTTGATTAGTCTGGAAGAGAAGATTATATCAGAATAGATTCAAATATAATTTATCTGTGGATGAGAGAATGATAATGTGCCTGCAGACAGTTTAAGGTTAATCATCATTATTTCACTTTATTACCATTAAATCTCTCCTTTTTCTCTTTACCTCATTTACCTTATCGCTGCACTGTACTTTTATCTATTTCACCCTCACAAGCTAGCCTTCATCCTACCCCTCCCTCCATCCTCCTACTCACAAAGCCGCGCTCCATCAATGGCGAGTGCTCACCTGTGGTTGCGGTTCTTGATGTTGAAGAACAGGAAGGCCCCCGCCATGAGCATGCCCAGTATGGTGATGGTGGACAGGATGCTGTAGAGCGGCACGTTGATGTGGCGCCGCTGCAGACGCACAAACGTACGGTCCTTGGGAGGCTCCACGCCTAACAGGAAAGGAAGGGATTAAAAAAAGATTTTGTTAAAAGGCCATCTTCAAAAAATGTGTGAGTCTAAATCAGGGGTGTCCAAACTTCCAGAAAAATATACGAAGGGCTGGGTCACTCATTAGAGGTGAGGTATATTGCCTCATAAGTTCAGTTGGAAGATGGAAAAATCAATCTAATGTAGGTAAATTATTCTTTACACTTGAAAATGCTGTTAGAAAAAAACTGCCTAAATCACAGCTCTCCATAGGGTTTCATTTATTTTGTTAGCAGCTCATTCCTTAAAACAGAAGCTTCAGATTCCTTATAATAAGAGGACATATGAAGGGTATATTTCAAGGTTGTTATGCACATTTGTTATTGGGCTTTTTCTTATCAACTTAGATTTGTTAGAACATGTTTTCAACTTGAATTGACTGAATTTATTTGAACATTGGGATTATATATATATTTGAACATATATATTTAAGAAGTACAATATATATTATAAGACAAGGAGAAGTTTATCATATTTAATTCATTGTACTTTTTGAATTTTCTGAGGGCCATAGTTTGGACACCCCTGGTCATCTCAAATGTTTCATGGTATATCATCATGTCTACAATTCCAGAGTATTAGTACAACAGTGGTTTTCTAGATATTTTTCGAATTTTTCCATTTAGGTTACTCCCTTCATACAAAATGGTTTCTCTTCAACCACAAAAAAGTGTCAATGGAGCAGACCTCCAGCTATTTGAGACCAATTTCCTGGTCCTCAGTTTCCCCCAGTTGAGTGCATGTATCTCGATGCACCACAGTCAAGTTATTGCGGTTAGACACTGCACTTTCTTATCTTTTGCTCTATTTTTCTCCCACCAGTCGGCCAATCGATCGCACTGGCATCATCTTACACAGCTCCACTTACTGTGGTCAGGGAAGTGGAAACAAGCGTCTCAGATGTTACTGTCCTAGAGTTTCTTTATGTGGACGAGAAGATGGAGAAGTAGGAGAGTGGTGAGGGGGGAGGTGAGGGGGGAGGGGGGGCAATAGCCAGGGGGATCGAACAAATTATAAAGTATGTCAACACAAGCAAACGCGGGATGGCTGAAAAATGGACGAGTAAATAATTTAGCTGGCGGATGAAAGTTGAGAGTAAAGGAGAGACTGAGTGGTGGTCGTGTCGGAGTGTGTCTGAGTGTGTTTGCTGGAGGGAGCAGGTGAAGGACAGATGAGAGAGCCGAGGTGGTAAGTGATGGGCCTTTAACATACATATAAACACACATTAGATGCATTCAGGACACAGTTTTCTTTATGGGGCCTTTAACATACATATAAACACACATTAGATGCATTCAGGACACAGTTTTCTTTATGGGGCCTATAACATACATATAAACACACATTAGATGCATTCAGGACACAGTTTTCTTCTTCAGTGAGTTTTTCGTCCCTGAGTCATACACAAAAGCGTCAACACACAGATATTCAGCCTTCTTCATACCTTGGAACCTAATAGAGTTGTTGATGAGGTCAAGCACATCAGCAATGGCGTTGTATTCTCCCACCTTCACCTCCCTGCCCTCTGTAAGAAAACACAAACAAACACACACATTAGAATAAATACATGTTTTTAAACCGTGCAAACTCCTTCTCTTTTATGCTTTTGAAACTGCCTTTGAAGTCATCCATGTTAAGCCATCAGAGGCAGAGTAGGGTGGGTCATGATTTGCCATAGTAGCAGAGTGTGTATTTCTGGAGAACATTTATTTGGAACATGGTTATTGATATTTGATATATTGAAATATATATTTGAGATGTTTCCCTTATTACCACATGAGTTATGTGAAATGTTTAATATTGCAACGATAATGCTAAAACATTGTTCACTTATACAAAGAAGAGTTCATAAAATGGCTTTAAATGAACAAGTGAATCTTATTCAAACTCATATTGGACACACAGTAAAGAATGGACACTTTAAGCAGAACAGTCTGGCACGGTCTTCAAATAAAGCTTCGAATATCAGGCACATTTTCCAAAACCCATTAGTAATATAACAAATGATCCCTAACATAGAATTTTAATGCACTCAGCTAGATTATTTTTTTTTGTAGCTTGAATGGTATTCCTGTTTTTTTACAGCCTTAATAATCAGTTTATTTTACCTCAAGGACATCTTAAGGGCAATAAAGACTCAAAATCATAGAAAAACAAGCTAACAGATAAAGACATTGGAGAAAATCAATTGAGCAAGGGTAAACTGGAATTGCACACTATGAGAAAAATGTCCAACTCGTATAGAAGGAAACAATGCATACATGCAATCAGAAGTCTGTATTGATATTGCAATATATATTGACTTTAGCATGTTTTAGATACAGTCGTGGGATTTTACTCTGCAGTATCCGCATCTTGCAAACCTCACTGTCTCTGTGGAGATCAGATGAAACACAAATATTTCAGGATTTAGTGTTTCCTCCTTAAGAAACAATGATAAGTCCCTCAGGTGGAATATTGAAGGAAGCTTGACCTTGCCAGACAAGCCTGGGCCTTCACTCTCCTGCCCTCACAAAGATTATTCACAGAGAAGAAGAGGATGGGAAGGGGGACAGAATATTCAGATTCCTTTTTCGTAACCTCTACAAACAACTAGCGATTTCTTCTGGAGTTCATTTATCTCTGCTCCTCTGTGTTATCACTGTTACAGGTCCATTGAACTCCTCAGCAGCATTGTCCTTGACGAGGAAAAGGACAGATAACATCAGCTATTGCAGCATCACAGGGCACCGCGTCCCCCCTCTCTGTGAATCACTTCATTTGTTCTCAATTCTTGCATCAAAGCATCAGCAAATGTTGGACAGGCTATATGTGACAATTGCAGATCTGTAGATGTAATGTGCATACACAATCAGGTGCTTTAAACTTCTCAGTGCTGAACGAGGATCAATAATCGTGTTTCCCTTGACCACGTCCTTTGTTAGGACCTAAACAGCAGAAGGGATTGTATTTCAGCACTCCTCCTTTGAGATGCTAAAATACTATTCTGGCACTCTATCCCCACAGGGACTATCGATGGCTGCCGGCCTGTTAAACTCAACCTTGAGCTCTGCCCTTGCGAAGACATTTCATGACTTTTAGACACATTCAATATCTGTAAAGTAAGTGGAACTGCATGTGGGACAATTTATCATTTCCTAACATGGCATTCTCATGACTAAAGTATTTAAGAATAAGGTTGGTTGCATTCTTGATTTTATTTAACTGGCTCTTGTAAAAGGATCAAAATCCTCCCTAATGGATACACTACGTATTCCTGTTGGAGTGTTGTTTGTCAAAATGTACAATGAACGATTTTAGAAAACATGTTTTTCTGAATATATATTTTTGTGAACCATGTTTAAAGATGTACATCTTCTATTGGAACAAAATGGCTTGGGGCTGAATGCCACACTCAGGACGGGAAAGTATTATCTGCTGCAGTCCTTGGATTCTGTTTTTTTTTTTACGAGATTTCTTGACAATAAAGAAATTATTATTATTCTTGTTATTTTAAATTACTTCATTGCAAGACAACAGACAAAACCTTTCCATAACAAGAAAAACGAAAGAATAACTACAAAACACAGTCTGACTGAAAGAAATACCTAGCACTATAAAAAACTTCTCTTTCTGTTTCTATCAATAAAAGTTTGATTCCACTGGATTTTAATGAAAGGGATTTAATAATAGCTGGTCATGGTGGAGCAAATTTAAACATTGACAGCATTAAAATGAATTGAATTTTTTACGTGCATGGTAGGTTTTTAAGTCTTATCCTGCAAAGTACGTATGTCAAGGTTGTGATTCCCAGACCTCATTCATAGTATAACTCTCTAATGCTGAAAAGCCAGATATGTTTTATCACTACATTCTGACCCGTCTTTGCAGAAGTGTTTGTAAATGTGATTGAATTCATTTCTGTCCTCTATGCGGCTCACATTAGCTTGTCTTTGATCAAGTTCATATTATTTTGTTTCATGTCAGATCTGTGAAATTCTAACATGGAAATCATTTGCTGCTTCATTTAAAAGCCTTGGTGGTGCAGTTCAATGATATTCTTGGGAGCTATTTAAATTGAAAAGCTGTGAGAAGACTATCGCCTGCAGGGAAACTGACAGCAGAGAGGATGTTGCTATTTGAACTTCCTACAGTAATGAGTAAAAAAAGCAGTATATTAATACTTACTGGAGGGGTGTTGTAGATAGTAAATCCTATCATTTAGCTCTAAAGATCCCAACAAATCCTAACCTTTTACGTACACATATCACAACCTCACCTTATTGACAAATATATAATTGAAATTCTCCTCTTTTACAGAACGACAAATGCCACGTTTCCTTATCGACGCGCCTTTTAGTGCGTTGATTTAAAATCTGTACTCAGTGGGACTGCAGCTGAGATCAAGACCTCTGGTAGCGAGTTATCTCTCATCCCCATGAGAGACAGGGGGAATAAAGAGCCATGGAGGCCCTGACTAAGAACGCCTGACAGGGTGAAATGGAGGATCAGAGGCTGAGGACAGATGATCGGGTCATGTTGAGGATCACTGCCTTTTGAAATATTCTAGCTTGGGCTGTCCCTGCTCTCCTCTCCATCCAGCTCAGGCTCTGTGTGTGTCAAAAGGTTGACAAATTCCCCATACCTGACAAGTGAGGAAGAAGTGATGAAGTGGAGGTTAAGGAGGGGTGGAGCTTGATAGTGAGTGATAGCTGTCACAAGGGGGAGGATTTCGTTGGGGAAAGCGTTGGTGATGGAGTGAAGAGAGGGACCGGGAGCAGAGAAAGAGAAACTAAAGATTGAAAGACTTAAGTGTGTCTGATAAATTAGTAAATTAAAGTGTGGCTATGATTCAGGCTGGGAATTTGCCTAATCTTTTCTTAAAAATCTCTTCAAATCAAGCCCTAACACACATTTTAATCATGGTAACATTTCCTCCTTGCTTATCTAAAGCGGCCAGACCCTAATTTAGACTGAACTCTCCCTGTGTCTTTCTCTCACACAAGCACACTCCTCCTGCTGTTTTGTTTCATTACTACAGGTGACCTAGAGGGTCATGCTCCTACTGTGTGTCAGTCGGACTTCAATGTATTTCAGATGGCAGCTTAATCCACCTTTCTGCAGCTGTGTCTCAGTTCAATAGCACATGAGCAGGTTTTCCGTCTCAAGCGTGTATCACAATTAAAATATTTCACAAAATCACAAGGAAAACTTTGGATGATTGATTTTTTGAGCTGCTGTTGATGTATATTCTTGTCCAATGATGCATTTCAAAACAGAAGAGAAGTGCTACTCACAGCTGTGGAAAAAAAAGAATTTAATAGTGGTTGTGCTTGAGGGGATGACTTTAAAAAATAAAAAGTTGAGCAGTCTTTGGAAGACTGTTTTTTATGAAGTTTAATTGATTCTGTTCTTCCACTAACAGTTTAATTAATGTCAGTTCTGTTGTTGCAAGGCACTGATAACTTGTTTATTTACTGCAAAAACAGGATGATTAATGGTATAAATGTGCAGTGTGTACAATTGCTAACTCATATGGAAGTGGGACACAGTGTCTGTCTCACTCACCACCCACTACCCTGATGGTTCAATTCTGTTTGTGTAACTTCTCGTCTTCCCTATACTATGCAACAATACAAACTCCTACTTTCGCACTACCGAATTATTCATACATTGTATTCATTATGTCGAACACACAATATTTAAATGATTATAAATATGTGGTTTCCTTTTTAGTCTCACCCAATGAGCCTGGGCTGTAACATCATTAGCATACACGCACAGTGACATACAAGCATTTCTATAAGCACTTTACTGCCCTCTATCTCTCACACACACACAGACACACACAAACACACACACTCACACACACGCACACAGTGTGATATATACAGCCAGAGGGATGGAGTCCCTCTGCAGTGGAGGAGATAAGATGGGAAGTCAGAAAGGAGCGTACGGCTTCATGCAGTGGCTACATACAGTCGGGGGAGCCTGGGAGCTGGGAATCCCCTGCATAAAGATTCAATCTCTGGTTTTTTTCTCCCACTTAGCAACGCATGCTGGCTCAAAACCAACCTCAGGGTGATGCTGTGAGGACAGAGAGTACTGAGGCATGTTTTTATTTACAAACCTTCACAGTCCACACAGATATATCCCATCACCACAGAGGAGATCAAGCACAGTGAAGCGCCATGGGCCTTGCACTTTTAGATTCACCCAACATGCACCCACACAGACACAGAGAACACATGCAACTCCATAGAGAAGATATGCAACTCCATGGAGATGCTTGTGGAGATTTTCCTCACTAAAACTACAGGCTAAAATGTTTTATGTTTACTGACAAACAACCCTTGCAGTCATGCGAAATAACCCTCTCCAGAAAAACAACTAATGAGATAAATGTGAGTGCAAGGCTTCCCACTTCAAATCATTTAGCCTCCCTTGCCCCGGGTAAACTGTATGATTTTGCTGCAAGCTTTTCATACACTATTGGTCAGGATCCAGTGTATCAACCGTGGCAGCCTTTTGGTTTCACAAAACTTGCAAGTGTCTTTCCTACAAGCTGGGATAATCCTACAAAATGTGTTAAACAATTAAAGGTTTTATTGAAATTTTTTTTTTAACTGTAGCACTTATCTTACTCCAGTGTGGAGTCACATCAAGAGCAAGTGGGAACATCTGGAGGTGTGACAGATATCAATATGAGAAAATACACAGGAGTTCTAAAATGACTGTGTAACCTGAAGAGAAAATCGAGACAGGTTAATTTGAGGAGTGTCAGACATACCTTGAAACTGGTTGAATTTGATTGTGCCCATTCTCTCTCCGTTCCGAAACATGACTTGGCCCTAAAAAGGAAACAATATATAAATGATATATACCTTCAATAAAACATAGAACACTGTAAACACATATAGCGAACACATTTTAAGTTAGAAAAACATTCTATCATGCTGAAGAAGATGAAGCGTGAGATTAGTTGTAATAAATGTATGCCCAGTGAATTCATGATGCGAGAGTGTTAGCAGGCGCAGAGCAGTCCTGGCTCCCACACAAACAGCATGTCATTTGATTAGAAGTGGGCAAATTGACCTGTTTATAGAGGTAAACAAAATCATCTTCGGGCCCATTCATTTGCTAAAATCAGGTCAGCAAGGCTGCCTTCACCGTGTTTGCTCACATAGAAAAAGGTAGGACTCTTGGCAGTGCGGTGAAATTAGCTACATGTAAGATCTTATTCTCCATTTTGATTTCTCAATATTCATTGCTGGCCATAAAAGCATTTGCCGGTCAAACAACAGCTCTAAAACAATACCAATTCAAGTCTTTGATTTAAACTCCACAGACACAAGAGAAGCAATCCCAAGCCAGACGGCGCCTGGCGAACACAGACAAGGTAGACAAAAGCAATTCAACTTTGTGGCAATATCGAAAGACATATTCAAATCAATTTGGCTTCAGTCCCCTTATCTATCCCATGTCTGCTCAGTCTTTCTCTCCTTTGTCATATTTTCTCCTTCCCTCTGTCTCTTTATCTCTCTGTCTCCCTATTCATCTACCAAGACTGTTCAATTAATTCAGCCCACCATCTGCTTACAGGGCTCCTTAATTACACATTTAACTGGGTTTACATATTACTGCCTGCCTAACAAAACAGGTGAGAGCAGAGAGGAAGACAGGCAGGCAGCTAGGCGACAGATAGACAGTAAGGCAGACAGATAACAGTTAGATAGGAAGACAGATGGACAGATAGATAGGTAGACATTTAGATAGGTTGAAATATAGATAGGTAGACGGATAAGATAGACAGAGAGCGACAGAGAGGGAGAGCATTTGCATTGGCTGATTAAAAGACAGCTGAGGGGGGAATATGTGGAAGGAAGCTGGAGAACCAATTTTTCCTCAAAAAGATGTCAAGCTTTGAAGTAGCAGAGCACGATCCCACCCCTCCGTTTGAATCCCAGTCTTTGTGTGGCGTCTTTGATGTTTGTCAGAGTGTGCGCGTGCAAGCATGTTAATGTGTACGCACTTAATAGGTTGTCACATTTTGCTCATGTAAGTGCATGTGTCCCTGATGATGTATGCGTGTGCTACTCCTGAGACCCAGGTTCTCTAGTGTTGCCTTTAGCCTGGTGATGGACCACGATACTCTGCTCACAGCGTAACCCACCGTGCCAGTCTTAAGACACATACTGCTTTTTCCCTCAGCAAGCTATGCAGTTATGTCTGTATTGTAAGTAGGACAGTGCACCTTGGTTCAGCTCATTATATCGATGTAATTCTTAATGACTGTGGTGTCTAAACAGATTCAGACAATGTGGGTTTTAAAATAGAGGAACTTGACTTGAACCCGTAATGACTGTAAATGTATGTATCTAGGTTTCTAGAGTAGCTGCACTATCATGCTTTTGCTGTGCAATAACATTGCCACTGTAATTGCCTTTCACATCAGCAAAAGTGAAGCTATTTTAAACAGCGCCCAATTTGTTCTCTCGGGTCCAGACAAGGTTTAGAGAATATGCAAAGTATATCAAACATATGCAGAGGCACTGCCTTTGACATTGTTAATTGGAAATAAATGTCTGTGATACAAAGACTAAATTAACCTCCTTTGACCAATATTCAGAGAACCTACTGTAAGGCCTCTTTTCACAAGGTATTATGCTCCTCTGCAGCTAAGGCAACCTCACTGGAGTCTATTGACCCAGACACTAGTTCGTTGTCTGGTATTCAACGGAGGTTCAGACCTGAATGACAATGCTGGCTGATGGAGCAATCGTTCAGTCTAACACTGTCTGTGTGTGTGAATGTGTGTTTCTGAGGTGAGACTGTGGAGGTGGCCAGGTATCACTCTGTCTGTGGAAGATGGAGTGCTGTCAATGACAGCTGTGCTGGGGTCAAATGAGATGTCAGTCTGTGGGCTGCAGGTGTGACATCCTGCGGGCTTTAAGGGTTTAAAGTGGGAACACAGTTGAAGTGAATGTACCTGTGATGCACACATAAACACAGATAAACAGAGAAAAACAAACTCTTTTTTACCTCAGTCTGAGGTTGTGCTACCATTACCAAGACAGACATTGATATATACTTGATGGCCACTGACCTTAGAATTTTTTTTTACAGCAAAAACAAACATATACCCACACAGTTGTCACCTCAAATCACAACGTGCTGTCTTCCCATGCAGCCCTCCCTGGTGAATTCTAACGTACATCATCCTGTGCTACTAGCAGCCATCTGCACTCTCTTTGCCCTGAAAGTCTCTCTCAGCTAACGTCAGCCTTCTTCTCTGCGGCCCTGACAGCAGCCAGATCAATAATGTGGAGCCCTCCGTGATCACTCTCCTGCTGCTGCAGCTGCCTCTTGGCACAGATATAGCAGCAGGACTGAGATCAGCGTAGAATGGACACGGTTCGGTCCCCTGAGACCGTGTGTTTACACAGAAAACACACTGTGTGAAATCGTGACATCAGGAAAGACACAAGGTTCAAGTCAGAGTAAAATCCCGTATGATCAAGCACACATGCACTGATAACATTTAAACCAAGGGTAACAAGCCGGAATATTCCATTTTACTGGTGCTTGCACATGGCTGCATTTGAATGGAAACCCAGTAAAATTGCAATTCACGAATAAATCTTGCAAGTTGTGCAGTAGCCGCTTTTGAAATCTGAATACAAAAAGAGCATAAAGATGTAAGCAGTGTGGAAGGGAAATTGCCTTCCTATGTCTTTGTTCGTTGTGCGTGGGTGGAGATGTCTATGTGCTAAGTGTGAGCTACATAAAGCGAACACTTTTGATCAGTTAATCCCTCAAAAGAACAGCTATAATAGTCAACAGATTGTCAATGTTATGTTACAAAAACACTTCTAACTATTTTGCAATGCAGCTATCTTTAAACAACTTAATTGTCAACCAGATGCACACTATTCTTGTTCAGATTTCTTTCATCCCAAAATGTCATCATAAGGAGAATCAGCATAATAAGAGCGTGCAGATTTACATCATATCCATTTCCCATTACTTTTATATTTGTGGGTAAAACTTTTCAATCATATAGCGTTATAAAAACAGCAGAATCACTCAATTCTAAAAATCAAGTGGCTAACTACTTGTAGGTTGTCATGTAGGTTATCATCTAATCATTCACACCCTAGCATTCCCAAGTGGTCATTGTTGTTCATTTGTCAGAGCTATTAACAACACAGAACACAGTGCAGTTGTTTCCAAACAATCTGTTGTAGCTTCATATGAACAAGAAGATCAATCTACTTATATATCATTAGCAACACAGCTCTGCTAGCATCCTGGCTGTGAGAATCAACCATAAGAATCCCAAAGCACCAGAAACCCTGATCTTAATGCTATGATAAAAGCAGAGTAAAACACCCAATGGCATTAGATAGATAGGAAGGTCTTGTAACTTACTGATCTATACTAGAAAGAATGATTTTTAAAACTTTGCCCTTTCCCTGTCACATAGGGGTTTTTTTTTCAGGGAGAGTTTCTAAGCTTATTCCACTACCTTGGGATAGCTACTGTAAGCCATTTTGTTTAGTTTTGTCCAAGCAAAGTGCTCTGGTAAGCAGTGATGCTATGTATGGTTAATGTACGGTCTGGGGCTCTGAGACAGACAGAATTGCGTAGTGAAAGCAAGGCTAATAGGGAAGCAATCTAAACATAGATGGTGTCACTATTATATATCTATTACACAGTGCAAACACCACTTACCTCGTAATGACTGTCTATTGCTTCTATAAGTGCAATGTAAGGCAATGTACAAACACCTCACTTAACTACTTCCTTTTTTGTAAAATGTTCTACTATAACTCCGCTGCGTTCAGACAGGATCCTAAGAACTGTTACAGGATGTGTATTTTTTAAAATTATGTAACTTTTAATTTTTTATTATATATTTGTTTTTATTATATCATAACGTAGTACTTTTTTTTAAATGCATGTCACATATTTAACATATGTAACATTAAGCTGTCTGTGGCTCTTTTTCCTGCTGTAACTACGCACATTTCCCCTCCGTGGGACTACTACTGTAATAAAGGTATTCTGATTCTGATTCTGATATTCTTAAAAGGGCTTTTCTTTATAACGAACGCTTTACCTTTTGATTTGAGTGTTTTTTGAGGCACATACTTCTCTAGTTCTTCTTCAAAATCTGAATGCAGGGTTATTATAGTACTTTGGTCAATACAGTCAATATTGACAGGGAGAGAAGGAGTTTGCTAGCCTGTTCAAACAACCGAACCTGACCTATCCAGACTTCATAATCTTTGTGGGTGCCTTGAGAGAAACGTGAGTGAAATGCTACATGGCCATCAATATTCCTGCACTGCTTTGCTTCCCCGAGTCTCTGAGGAAAGACTCAATGTCAGCCTGCTCCTGATCAGCAACCCCGAGTGGGTCTGTGCTGAGAGAGGTGAGAGTAGAGGGGGGGGGGGCAATGCTGACCCTGAGGATCTGGTGTGCTGCAACACGTATACAGTTCCCCCGGGACATTAGCCCCATAGGACCTCACAATATCACCGGCATGCACTGATTTTCACCAAGGCCTTTTTCCTCTTCCTCTTTCCCTCTCTCGTTCTATTACTTTAAGGTAATGCATTGGAATCTGTATTTCTATCCTTATTAACTATATCCATTTCTCTCTCGCCTTCCAACTTAGCGTTAGTCTATGATTCGTCCAAATACTTTTTTTCTGAATATTTATTGAACACTACCACAATTTTCCAGAACAGTCAATCTTTTTCTCATTTCTACTTACTTGAATTTTTTTTGGTAAACACAGTACTGAATATTATATCACAATATGAGGAATGTACTGCTTTACTGCATGCCTACTGGCTGTCTAGGCTAAGAGCAGCGTGGTACCCTCAATAATGTAGTGGCCTTTACAGGGGAACAAGAGATATCCTCTAACAGCTCAATAGGAAGTCAGAGTGAGCGCACCCACACACACACGCTCACACCCACACACAGCTTGTACTGTAGCTAGCATAGCCACGAGGATCAATCATGAAAGCATTGGAGTGAGTCGGCAGCACCAAATGACACCACTTTAGGCTTCTTACTAAGACAAGGAAGGCTAAGTAACCTTCTCTGCAAACACACTTCCACCATTACAGATCAGTAATTATTGTCCTTATGTGTTCTTCTGACATTTGCCTACTCCATACTGTGTTTTATAATAGAAAACATAATAGCGTATTTGCATACACAGACTCCTTCCCCAAAAAATGGATGCTAAACTAACATTTCTTAAAGTTTTTTGACTGTTTGGTTTTAAACAATGTTTGTATCTGCATATTTATATGTGATTGTTCGTCTACCTCGTTGTATGTCACAAACAACACAAAATCCTTGTGTTCCAAATGTCCACAAGTCGGACAGTGCCATATTTCTTAATGTTCATTTATTTAGTTTCATGTCAATCTGTTGCATAACCTACCGTGACACCAAAGAAGTTGGTCTCGTTCATGACGTCCAGCACCATTTTCCCCACTTCGCGGTCATCCACAGTGAAGTTGTGGAAGGTGTTCTGCCGCTGTTTTACCCGGAGCAGTTCCATCACTCGAGTTAAAGTTTTAGCGATGACCCAGATCCCATCGTAGGCAAAGCCGTGGAACTTGCTGGACTCCACACCTTTCTGCTGAAGCTCCCGGCTGTACTCCCTCTCATACTCCTTCGGGGTCTGACCGAGAGGCAAGAAAAGAGAGCAGATCAAAAAGAGAAAGTGTGAATCTCCAAACTTTTTGAATATTTTCTTTTTCCTTAGAATAATTCATCCCACATTTTTCAAGTTTCAAATGTACTTTTGTTAATGTAACTTTGTCTAAGTAGAAGGGATTATTAGAACGCAATTTCAGATGCAAAGTTGATGAAAATGCCGTTTAAGCTGAAAATAAATAACATGATTAGTTTTACCTGAGATTTATAGTTAAAAAACATGCATATAAGAAGAAATAATTCTCCACATATTATACTGTATACACATTCACCGGAAAACTTCAGGTTCAGCCACAACAATGACAAAATGATTGAGCACAAAATCAAAAATGATGACTTTCACTGATGACTAAGCTATGGTCTGACAAAATAAACCAAAATTCCACAAGACCTTCAACAAAACCAAAAATGTTTCCGATTTCACTTTATTAACCTCAGGCTTCTTATTCTACACTGTAGATTCATTCTGGCAACCACCCAGTTTTTCTGAAATGACCTAAAAATCAAGGTTTGTTGTGGTGAAATATTTGCCTTATTCAATGTTTTACACTAACTGCGTCTCTATACAGATTGAATAATGTGTTACAACAACACTCTGCTGAATAACATCAGGTAGCACTCACTCTGCCTGAGATGCCCTTTATCTGGCGAGCACTGAGCGGCTCAAAGTCCACACTGATGTATCCCTCCATGGCTGTGAGCAGCTTCTTGGTGGTGCAGTTGGTGCTGTTGGCCTGCTCCCACCAGTTGCCCTGGTACCAGCCGGGGATAATCCACTGGTATTTACTGCCAAACATGTTGAGGTTATACGCCTGGCAAGGGGTAGGAAAAAAATGGGGTTGAGACAATGTAATGTTAGCTGCTGGCTGTGTAAAACTAGGGATAACTGAGAGTTTAGGTCGAGTGCAACGCTTGAAGAATACTGAACTCATTGGTTTAGCAATAAGCATAAAACATAGCATAGCATTCTTGTTGTAACTTGGCAAGAAATTGATTGTGTAAAATATATATCTGTAAGCTATCACTTATAAGGCTGAAGACTTACGCAGCAGAAGACTTTGGAGGCCAGATTCTCGTCAAACTGGCCAATGATGATTCTCACATCGTTGTCCTGGGGGAAAAAAGAATAAAACATCATGATCAATTAAAAACACACATGCTCACAAAATGTTACATTAAATATTAGTTACCGCGACAGGGCAAGCTGTTTTATGTGATACTGTAGGTGTCACCATACAGTATTTTTGTGATAGGTTGTTTTGATAAGTTTCCTTGTTTGTGATGCCTTTTTTCAGCACTCTGGGACATCACTCTTTACAAATGGAAATAGAATCAGTTGTGTGTGTTTGTGTACTGTATTTTCTTCCCTAAGTCTATCTCATCAGTAGCTACACAGTCTGGGTGGCTGAGAGGCTAAAGCAATATCAAGTCGCAAAGTGTCAATCCATAACAACAAAGACATTAGTGTCAGCGGGCAGAACTGCCTTCAATGCCAACCGGGCTCAAGAGCACAAATTTACATAGAGATTCAGAGCACAAGGCCCAGTGAGTGACTCTGTAAATAATTCAGAGTGCAGCATGGTGGGAAAAAAGATCAGGCTCCGGGGCCAACGGTCTGTTATTTAGTGTGCACACGCTTATGTTTAAAACTGTAGAAACACAAGCACAGGCCTGCAGACACACATAATGCACACACACAATACTTTATTGCCCCAAATCAAATCCAATACCACTGACAGAGTTTTGATGAATATAGGTCTGGTCAACATGGCTGGAGGTAGTGTGTGATGCATGGGGAAAAGTCGAACATAGGGCCCTTAACTAACCCTGACAGTCCAGACAATAAATGGAGAAGGTCACTGAGCAATATGAAGGAAATCTAAAGGGCTGAAGCTGTCAATGTATTTGATTAATTATGTGTTTTCTTCACCAACAGTTGTTTTTAGGGAAGCATACCTAATATTAAGTGTGTTTTCTATGTTGTGTCCTTTAAGTGCTACATGCAGTGTTTTTAAATGTTTGGTTCTGTCTTTTATTGATTAGGAAACTGCTATACCTTACCTAACAACACTGAAACTGTAAGAGCAGGGGCTTTTTACATTTCAATTACATAGGCAGCTTTAGAAAATACAAAACAAGTGACAAACACACAAGCTCTAATGTCAGTGAACCTACTAGTTTCCTGCCTTTCTTGATAATGAGAAACTGTTATGAATACAGTTCATGAAGTCCTCTTCCCCCAGGCAGCCTTACCATATGTCATGTATCCACAGATCAGAGTAAGCAACCAATCACTGTCATCTTAGCTCCAATTACTCAAGGCAATTAGACACCAAGGAGCTACTGTACCGCACAGCCAATACATTTCATATAGTGGATAGACGTATGGACAGATTAGATTAGATTCAAATTAGTTGGAAAGTTGATAGATACATGGATAATATCTTGCCTATCTATCCACTATATGCATAATATGAGGAAAATATGTTGCAAATTGACTTTGTCATGACAAAGAAAAAAATACTGTGTATGTACCTATCCGTCTTTATATTTAGTTGCTAATGTAATATCTGTCCTGACATTTTACATAAGCTCTAAGATTATTTCCATCACAAAATCATCTGTATATGTTCTCTAAATATTAAAGAGGTTGAGAGTTTTCAGAAAGCCGAGCAGCTCAATCAAAAGCTTCTTTGGTGGTTTCTCATCACAGCCAGACCATCACAATAGATGTGCCAGGAGGACAGGTAACAACTCTGAACTTTTCTGGGGTGCATGCTTGCGTTATTTCATTTATTTTATCACTAGTGTGTGTGTGTGTGTGTCAGTGTACAAGTGTGTGTGTGTGTGTGTGTGTGTGTGTGTGTGTGTGTGTGTGTGTGTGTGTGTGTGTGTGTGTGTGTGTGTGTGTGTGTGTGTGTGTGTGTGCCAGTTGTTACTCAATGTCCTTCCCTGAAGGAAAGGCACTTAACCCAAATTACTCTAGCTATGGCCACGGACCACAGCCTCAGTATAAATTCTGGCCTGTCTGACTGTGTCGTTGCAGGCAAGGGCATGAGTGAGTTTGTCCATTATAGACAGACCGGGTCACTACAGAACCCCAAATGACCCTCATTGTTTGCGCTTTTGTATAACTATGAAAATAATTGTTATCGAGGGTAGTGTTATGGGCAGCCTTGACGGCTTCTTAACCAAGACAGGGGTGTTAGAAACTTCATCAAAGTGATTTATACGTGATAATGGTTTGAGCATTAATGTTCCTTATAAGCCCAATCAGGCACTGTTAAGGCTTATTAGGCACACACACACATACACACACAGTGTATTATTGATGGCCTTTTTTATGAGCTTGTGGGAGACATGATTTGTAGACTTGTCAACGTGTTGCCTCAACCCACAATCCCCATCCCCCTGTGTGTTTCTGATGATTACTGTGCAGCAAGTGTGCAGATGTGATCAAGTGCATGATCTTGCAGAAAAGATTTGTGTGTGTGTGTGCGTGTGTGTGTGTGTGTGTGTGTGTGTGTGTGTGTGTGTGTGTGTGTGTGTGTGTGTGTGTGTGTGTGTGCCGTTTTTATGATCACAAGGTGAGCATTGAATGTTCTACATAATATTATGATCACAGATATTGCATTATTATTTGAACTGTTAATAACAGGCCTTCAGAATAAAAGTCTGTGTGCTCTGTGTCCACAGTGTGAGACTCTTGCTGGAACTTGGTGCTATTTGGGGATTTGGACAAGCAGAGGTGCTTTATCAGTTTGAAAGGAGCAGCAAGAAAACACTGCAGATTACAGGAACCGCAGCTGCTGATGATATTATCAATAGCAAACCATATGAAATGGACAAACCTATAATGATAATATCAGTGCAAACCATTTGTCTTGAGCCAATCCTCTGTGTTTTTAAACCAACAAAACAATGTAGAATCATTTGTTATCAAAGAAATGTTTTGGGTACAACTGGGATTCTAGTATTCTACAATATAATCACAGCCAAAGTATGGCAGCTATAGCACAGGCTTTAGGGCTTGTAGCTGTGGGGGCCACACATACATTCACAACCCAAGAGAAACACTGAAATCTACTTATCAACAGATCAAATAGAAGGTTATACATGTTTGGATGGCCCTTTGTCATTCAAAAGTAGCTGCATCAGTAAGGCAAAAATGTTTAAAAAGAAATGGACCATCCCCTTCTACGTCATATCTGAATGGCAAGAGTTCTGAATGCATGATACATAATTAAACCATAATAAATAATTAAGTGTTTTGGACCTAATTTAGATTTCAGGCCATTTTATCTCATGTGGCCCTCCATTGAATGCAAGCGACCTGAATTGTCTTTCAGTCACAAAAACTTTAAAAAGCACTGGTCTATAACATTTCAGCTTATTTTATGTTTAATTTGAAGATGTTAAGCATGATTATATGTAAGTGATTGTTGGAGTTTGTGTGTGAGAGAGTGGGGTGTGTGTAAGCCTGCCTTTGTTTAGGGATGTGTTTTGTCAGTCTGTCCAGTAACAAACAGGGAACTCGGGACAGAGAACAAGAGATGAGGTTAAATAAAGGCAGTGAGATGTAGAAGGCTGCTTCAGCGCCATGCCTGTCTGCTTTTTGAATATTCCAGCTGGATCACAGATGTAAGTGCTCTATTTGTGGATCCCACAGTGACGCTGTGATGGCCCCCTTATTCCCCACACAGTCGCAGATACACAATGACACATAACAGTGCACTACAAAAAAAGCTTTCACAATAAAATCTGTGTCACCCTCTACGTCGTCATATTACGTGGTTGTCGGGGGGACGGCAAACTGCTGTTTCGAGATGAGCGGAACAGACCATTAGGGTGTCCGAGGACCCCCCCGCCCCCCCCCCCCCCCCCCCATCAAAACGCTCTGAAAAGTTTTCGAGGCGACACCGTGTTTTGCATATTTAGAGTTGATCAAGGAAGGATGGTGTCAGCTTACAATGTCAGCCCTCAACTTGGAGGGTTACACATATATTTAAGGTAAATACTTGTGTATGCTGCTCTTGCTCTTTTGCACTTTTTGCATATTATGTATATTTTGTTTTTACCATGTTTGTAAAATGTAATTTTCTTAAATGTTTAATGTGAGGGACTGCGGATGGAAACTAGCTCAAAGCTAAATCTGGCACTGTTACGCTTGACACATTTGAATGTTTTAAGTGTTCATTACTGTGCATTGTCCTTGCCAAATAAACGATTAAATAAATAAAAGACAGCTTATCTTCCTGTTCCTTCTCGATCCCTCTGTCTCATCATGACATTTGTTCAACCTGCTCCATGACACATACTGTACGTCATATCTTCCACTCATATATCAGACCTTTTCTTTATTCCTTCTGCTCTTATAACATCTGACAGTTTCTATTTTACTGGTTGAGCTCACCAGGCACATGGTCATGTATTTGATTTACTTCCACTGACAATGTTTATACTGTAAACGTATGTGGCACTGACTCACTGTAGTTACACAACAGAGGCCAGAAGCATCTCTGGTTGCCTTTAGAGATATTTTGGATACATTTGCCATCACACTTGACTGCATTTACATCTGAATTTCATGCATTTCTGCTTCATTAAGAGGCCAATAAACCACCCATTGGTCAGAACAGATTCATTAGAGCTCTCGCTAACGCTACTCAAATACAAATACCAACATAATTGGATCAAATGTAGTCATTTGCTGTATTTGAGAATTATTCAAACTATCATTGAATCATTCCACCTTTTCATTTAGTCTGATAGAATTGTGCGGCTCCCAGGCTGGATGGCTTACCTTGAGCTTCTTGACATTGACACATGGGTCGTTGGAGAAACTCTCCGTATCTGCAATCTGGATGTCTGCTTTCTCCAGCTCACTTGTTAGATCATTTCTCACCTAAAAGAGAAGGAGAGAGAAAGAATGAGAAAGCACATGAGTATGATGTATAAATGACTATGTACCATTTTCCTTGGTCTGTTCTTAATTCAACTCAATAACCTTGAAATGTAAGGAGAGGTTTTTGTTAAAACAGACATGTTTAAATTAATTAAATAAACCAAGCTATTGTACTGCTGTCAGTTAACCATACACTCCTTAATAATAATACTTCCAGTTTTCAGATATTACACTTTTAAACAATAAAGAATAAACAGTATTTCAGCAATACAGATGTTGCAGGCTCTCATGTTCTGAGCTGTTGTCTGCATGATGTTCTGTAAATAGTAAAACATGTGTCTTGACGTGAGAGCATGTCAGAAACATATCGGCTTTTGAAGACATCAAAACCGTCAATATCCTGATTTCAGCTCACTCTGTTAAATGTCGAGTTGTAACATTCACAATATCCGATATACACATGTCTCGGTGATGTGCATTTTTTTTTTTTTTTTTCAGAGTGACAAAGACTACACAGTTGCTTTTAATGATCTCAACTGCTTATTCAAATCTTGACCAAACAGCAGACACATGTGCAATATTGTACATGCATCTGCAGGAGCTGTATGTCTGCTCTGATGTATCGATTCAGCAGAATGGTGGGTAATGGGATCAGGGAAGACAGAGGATGGAGCGGGAGCACCGCTGTGATGGCGAGCTTGAGGTGGTTTATCATTCTGCATCTCTCCTCTTGACCCTCACACACACACACACACTATGATTCATCCCTCTGGCTTCCTCTCTCAAGGATACCATTTCAGAAACTGTCTTTTTTCCCCGTATACATTTGAAGCAGGAAAAGCACAGGTGTAACTAATAATATTAATGATGGCTCTGTACCAGGTCTTCCAGTCAGGAAGTGAGACAGAACACACCGTATAAAGGCTCTGGCATGGGAGCATCTGACTGAAAGGCTGCTATTATTTGATGTTACAGCTGTGTCAACATGTCTGCTGTAAAGAAGATCCACAGTTTGCATATTGGGGTTCACAGGGAACATCTCGTTCTTTCTCTCTGGCCAAATTATTCTGATGTCCTCCGGCCAGCCATCGGCCTCTCCGCCCCCGCCTGAAGGCTTGGCATCAGGGGTCATGTTGAGACATCAGAGCTCATATGGGTATGCCAAGACCGGCTGGCAGAGACAATATGCAACAGCTAACAGATGAAGACCCTGTGTTTTTACCCTACATTCGTCCGAAACTGTGCATATGTGCCATAGGTTATATGCATATTCATGTGTTCTACATTGCTACGAGTGCAAACTGGGGAGTGCCTTGACAATGAATGGAATGTAAACACACATTCCTTGAGTGATACAGATTTATGTTAAGCATTTTTACTTACAAAAGCATCAAAACACTTAAGGAAATGTCACAAACTATTCATGGACAATATGCTTCCAGTGCAGTTTGATAGAGATATGGTGACCAACATCCAGACTTGCAACATTTGTATTGATTTGTGGGAAATATGTGGAATAATACTGATTATTCTCAGGGAGTAGTTTACACGTTGCTATGGACATTTTTAGACTGTGTTGTTCTGTTAATGTTTAGGTATATTGATATTCATTTTAAATACAAGCCTTGTCACTGTAATTGAAGATATTTAAGCTTCCATCTTTTAAGCCTATAGGTAAAGTGTTTCATATTCAAAAGATAGATATCAGGTGGAGAACCACTTCACATCAAAGTGTGAGGATATTTACAAAAGGTAGTATCGGTTAGCTGGAAGCATCTTCAATAATTTCAACATCACAGCTATTTCTTTTGCTACTGCTGTTACATTGTAAATACTTTGTGTAATCAACTAGAAGATTGCTGCCTTGTAAAAATCAATGTAACTGAACAACACAACTTTATTTCCCCTATGTCTCAAAATGTCTGTTGTCACAATGGCCCTGTCCCTTGGTACCCTGGAGGGAGCTCTCAATCACTTGGTACATCACTCAGTCCTGTACAAACATTCCCTCCAATGTACTGTTCGCTGAGCTGAAACAACAGGGAGGCCGGGGTGGATCAATACAACCAGGTTTTGCTCTTCAGGAACAATTGGTGTGGTGGTCTGGACAAGGTACAAAGTCCTGTTGTGTAGAGTGTTGATCTAAAGCTTGGCTGCTTCCATGCTAAGTGGAAACGAGAGGCAAGAGAGGCATTGCAGCAGGTGAGTTTGGTGTTGGAGGAGGAGTGTTGGACCGAGCACACAGCTGGGTGGAATAAGATACTGCCATCACATACAAACAAACATATACAGTACAACAGCACACAGTAAGCCATTCGCCTCTTATTGAAAAAGCCCTCGTCACAAGAGGATATTTATTGGTTTGATTTTGCATTTATTTGATTTGATTTATTTGATTTTGCATTTGATTTGATTTTGCACTAAGATGGAAAAGGACAAATGCATCCGTGTTTTGGTGGACTGAGTGTGTTAAATAGAGCGAGGGGTGGAGGGACGGATGGATTGAGGTGCAGAAGGAGGGGGAAAAAAGTGAGCAGCTTTTTCCCCCCATAACAAAAACATCCTCTATTGTCTGAGCGGCCGGGGAATCCCCAGCAGCAAATACAGCAGAGAAATAATCCTACTGCTCTGCTGGCCACAAGTGCACATGTAACACACATCATTATGTAAGTACACACCCACACATGATGGACAAAAATGACAAAGAAATTCAGATGCACTCAGTATGATTTCTAGAATGCATTTGTTCCTATGAAGAACTTTAACAAAATATGATCGTGTCTAAATGCAGAATCTTTTTTTTCTGCATATGAGCACAGTGACACACAAGCAAAAATGAAGATGAATTGGGACCCTGTGGTTGAGGGATACCCCGTGACTATTTGGGGTGTAAACGACAGAATGAAGTATTATCCCACATCTTCGCTGCCCGTGGATGCGGTCTTCCTTTCCACTGACCGTGACAAAGAAGCATGGCTACATTTATTGTATAGGGAAAGTAAAAGCAGCGTCATCAGTTCCTTGGTTGTTATTAATATGCATTGGTAGTACAGCAGTGCTTGTGTCATCATTATACAGTTTGATAGGTCATAAAATATTCCCTCTACACCTAATTGCATATTTTGGAGGGCTGCAACTAAGCATTATTTTCATTTTTAATCCATCAATCCTATGATTAGTTTCCCAAATAATTGTTAAATTATAGAAAGTGCATGTTAAAATGTTATACAATTGCATGATTTGTTTCTAGAATAGTCAAAGAGAATTTTTGTTTTTTGCTTGACAAAGGATGTAAACATATGATTACCTTTTAAATAGTTGTTAATAACTATTCTGTAGATTGACAAATTTGATCGGCTATAAAACACACACACACACACACACACACACACACACACACACACACACACACACACACACACACACACACACACACACACACACACACACACACACACACACACACACACACACACACACACACACACACACACACACACACACACACACACACACACACACACACACACACACACACACACACACACACACACACACACACACACACACACACACACACACACACACACACACACACACACACACTGAGGCAAACAGGCTGCGGTGGTTTAACCTCCGATCATTAACACATCATTAGGCATGTCCACAGAATAGGGCACTTTGTGTGGCTGAGTGTGTGTTTGTTAGTGTCGTACATGATAGAGTGTTTGCAGGTGCTTCTCAGTAGACTGTAGTACCTTTTCAAAACATGTAATGTTGATTAACAAAAAAGTCAAAACCGAGGATGTAACGCTGCAATGTCATGCAATTTACAAAAGAGGCAGTGTGATGGGTCTTGCACACATCTGTCCCTCAAAAAGTGTGTGCCACATCCGCGTATAAATCTCCATGTAAATCCCAGAGTTCAGGCTGTAATGCCAGTCATGTGCTTACACAAACTAGCGTGACAAACGGTTGTACCACAGCCTGATGACAAGCTCTTGAATGGCTTCCTCTCATGGCCTTACATGCCCTGTACAATGGCATGAGTCACTCTGCAGGGGAATGTATGACATTGCCGGCTTATTTGTAGTAAACAGCAGCTGATGGCTAAAGAAATGTATGTGTACAATGCACCATCTAGGACAAACACAAAGACATTTTCACTTTGTTAGCAAGATTGCTGTGATAGTAACTTCTTCTAAATCCATCGTTAAGCATGGTGTGATTAAACATGTTTGCTTAGAGGAATCCAGGCAGAGTCCTAATCCTGTTCTCTGTCATGACTGCTCTGTTCCCGATGAGCCCTGTTTGTCTGGCAATCTCAATAATGTTGATTGCTGTGTGTGTGGGTGTGTGTACAGACACCTTAACACTGGCAAACACCTTACAGATATTTATTCTCATCTCTCAATATAATAAACCAAACCCCCCAAAACATGTCCCTCCTAAAATAGGATGAGTTGGTGTGTTCAATTACTCCTAAAAATAGAAGTGCGATCTGGCTTTAGCTTACAGGTTACAGGTTACCATATTATAAGTGTGTGTGTGTGTTTGCCACTGACTGAATCACTAACAATTGTTACATGACATTAACCTTGTCTCCCTAGGAAACTGCACTGCCGCATATCCCTCTGTGTTTAGGTTTAGAAGCTGTTCCAGGTGGCTTCTTTCTGGAGTTTCTGTCAGTCAGAGTGAGAGACAAGTTCGACAAGATATTTTGAACTAAACCAAAATCATCTGTTAATGGAATAATTTCAACTCAATAAAAAGGTAACAAAAGTACTCATGATGCATTCCTTTGTTATGTTTGTTCTATTCTTTGGCAGTATCCAAACAGCATTAAGCACCTCACATCTCATTAGCCACTTGTATTCCACATGCTACCGTGAGTTCCAGATGTACCGAAAACCGACATGCACTGAACTTGACGGAGGATTGTACAAATCATAAAGTATGGCAGCGATGCTTGCATATTTGTAAATCAGGATTAGAGGCCAATTTTGTGGCAGGTTGATTGAATCGGGCCGCCCGTCTCCCTCTCGTCCTAAGCCCCTCGGCGCTTTCAGGAGGGGAGAGATAAAGGGATTTGGGCTCTCTGAGATTTGCAGTGAGACTTCTTATACACCCCCCCTCCAGCTGCTGAGCAGATTGTTTTCTACCAGGGCCTCGAGGCAAGAACTCACAATGCGTCTCTTAAATTCTTGCTTTCAATACCTCTGACAAGGCTTTTTTTAAGTGAGTGTTCCTGTGACGGTGATGTAATATAATGTTGGTCCCATGAGTCGTCAAACGCGTGACAGATGTGTATTTATCGCTAACGTGCAACCCTTTCCCAAACAGGAATATGTTTTTCTCATTAGTTAATCAATTTGTTTTTGCAACATGGTTTGGCATTGGATTGTTATATTGATTCTCCTATTGATTTTATTGTAAAAAGCTACTCGACACTAGTAGGGAAAGGATTTCTCCTTGGAGAATGCAAATGTGTCGACTCCTGTTCCTGGCTTCAATCTGATTTACAACCATTTTCTAAATAAGTCTGCAAGCTTTAAAATGTATTTCAGTGCCAACAACGTCAACGGTTTTTACTTACAGATAAAGTTATTTGTATTTCCACAGTGGGCTGAGTAGTGCTTGATGCAGACATTTCCATTACACATGATGTACTCTAACATCTGTTCTTATCGGTGTTGCTTGTAAAAAAAAAGTTAACATATGGTTAGTGTTAAGGAATAATTCTTCTAGATATCTAACCTTTTTCCTCTGTGACGTGTTATCTCCTTTAAGGAAAGGCCTTGGTGCCATATGTGTTGTTGTCACCAGTGTGTGACCGGTCAACTTGACTGGCACGAAGGGTAATTGTTGTGGGAACACTGAGGCACTTCTTTATCGGTGTTTGTGGGCTCTAGGATGTGAAATCCTTGAGGCCATGAGTGTCGGACACAAATTCAGTGTTTAGTCTACTCCTTCAGAGATGTTGATTTCTCTCTGTGAACCAGTTAAAAGGTCTAGCATAGAGAGAGGCTCTTCAGAATTGACGTGGCAACTCTACCGTGTAGTCAGAACCTCTGACTCTTTGATTTGTGATGTGAATCCTCCGGCCGAATACTCTGAATAAACCCATCAGTGTTTGACATCAAAGCTCCAACTCTCACCGTGTCTCCTTCCTGAGTCGGTGACTCCATGCATTACTACACAGAAGTTTCCTCCACAGTTAGTGCTAGAATTAGGCTCCAGTTTTAGTTTCAAAATGTTAATCTAGCCATTTTATCCAAGTCATGGAGAATCCATCCAAAGAGTTTTATGTGGGTGGAAAAATATTGCTTTAGTCAAATAGTGGAGAATAGCTTGAAATCGAATTGATTCCCACCCACTCAAATGTTGGCAACATCTGAATTATGATTTTAAGAAAACAAAATACCAATCAGTGTTCAGTATTGATACTACTCGTAGTCTCTCCATCAACAAGATAAAAAAACCCTGTGTTTACTAATAGTGAAATGTTACCCATTATCTTCAAGAGAGGAGAAGTGGCAGGGGAAGGCTGGGATTATTAAACTGACTTTAAAGCTTTGTGATTGTGTGTTGTGATAGCAAAGATTTGTACAAAATAAATGTCCCCCTGACACCATTCACTGACAGGTCTGTGTGTACATGACCACTGTGGAATTTAAATATCTGCTTTAAAAAAGTATAAAGAGATGTACGCAACTGTTACTATGCAGGCAAGTTATACAAAGGTTCATTTATGGTCTGTTTTAAGGTACGCCACAACGAACCTGAATGAGGTGTGTTTATTTATTAATGATGTGCAATTATATTTTTGGGAAAAAGAAGAAAAAAGAAGGGTAACCTGGCACTATATTTGATATTGAATTATTACAGAAAAACTGAGGTTGCTGTGCCTTGTGATAGAGAGCGAGCTCAATACTTCAGAATACATCACAGAACTGGCTCTCATTTCCTGTGCAAGCTCTCTGTAACAGCTCAGAATGTAACCACAGGTTTCCATGGCAACTTTTGTTCATGGCACAGTTTACATATCGAAATATAGTATTTTGAAAGAATGAACGAGAGACACTGACCTCGGAGAACCTCTGTACATCCTGAGTGAGCGTCCCCACACGGCTCCAGTTGTAGAAGGTGAGGAACTTTACCACCGCAGGGTTCACGGCGTTGTCTGATGGGACGGTGCGGAAGAAGTTTGGGTACTTTTTCTTATCTGCCAGGACTGGAGTTGTTGCTGCAAAGGAAAGCTGGAATGACAAAAAAAGAGAGAGAACTACAGTGAGTTTAGAGTCTGTTAAATACAGTCCTAAATAATCCTGGCAACAAATAGTCAGATTACACTGGTGTACTGTTAGAAGAGTAGCACTGTTAATAACTGTGTCACAAAGCACTGGATGACAGATCTCAGGTGTGCCATGCACTCAAATTCACAAGATTCAAAGGTTTTATTGTCATATGCACAAAGCTACAGTGTAGAAATGGCAATTACATTCTTCTGACCTGAGCGCCTCCAACAATGAAACATATATAATAAAATACAAAATAAAAAGTAGAAAAAAGTCTATATACATGTCAATAGAATGTGGGATATGTACAAAAACAGAATATCAAATTAAAAAAATTAAATTAAGACTAAATTAAATATGGCTTATTGCAGTGATAACTATTTCTATAAATTAGTATACTGCAAGATGACAACAGGAATGTTTATCGGGCACTTAACAGAGCTCAGGTGTCATTTTAGAGTGTTTATGAAGAACACACTTATTTAGTAGTCTAAAGGTGTGGACAAATCAACTCTTTGAAATGAATTTAAATGTCAGCTAAATATAGTTTAGTGTATAACTGGAAATAGATCTCTAAATATTGGGTGGAATGGATGACCCCTTGTATGAGTAGCCTTTTAAGATGTTGTTATTCTGTTGCTGTTGTGTGTCCTGGAGTGATAGTTGTGTGACTACCTGTTTTTGTAAGTTTTTTGATGAGGAGCAGCTTAGCAATATGATTCATCTCTATGTTGTTAAGTTAAAAGCATTTGCGTTCTTCATGCAAGCAGTTTGAGCTAGATTGCACACACACACACACACACACACACACACACACACACACAATCACACCAATACAGATAACCACACACGCACACACGCTGAACCTCAAACGTTAATTGGCTTTTTACACACACCTTTTTTTTCGGTTCATGAGCTGCAACCTAAGCATATTTTGAGCACATCAATGTTCAAAAAAGGAGAGTGTACCAAAGTTTGAAAGGCAAACTTTTAAAGTATTTTTCCAGAGCAATAACACGCTAATGATCTGAACACGATGCAGCAAACACACTCCCTCACTGATGGCAATATAGTTGGAAAGCTGTGTGTGTGTAACTCAAGCTGGTCTAGGGAATATTTTGAACAATCAATACAGTGCAGTCGAGCTCATAAAACATGATGAAAGTCTACAAGTGGTGTTGTACTATATTTGAGTTTAAAAATTGTAAAAATAAATAAATATTCAAATGTGTTTTCTCCATTATCAACACCTACATAATTGTCCTCATTTACACCCGTCCCACCTTTCATTCGTCTTTCCCATGCTAATGAAGTTTAGCTCTCTCCCTCTCTTCCACTTTGTAGCACATTTTCAACAATAGGTCACCCATTTTCTCGAGAGGCAAACATTTCTGTAATTAATTTTTGCATTAAGATTAACATTTGCTAGTCAGTACAATGTACCAGCCGGCACTCACCAGAATAGACAATGAGCTGACACTTTATTGTTTACTACGTTTACTTTTAGTAGTCTCAGGCCCCGTTTACATGGAGACGGTTCGGGATGTATCTGCTACTTTTCGTATAGACGGTTAGTTCACACGAGGCCGTAACGGAACCGCGGAAACGGACCCCTCAAACAATAACGGGTCCCAAGATGGGTAGATCTGCGGACGGAACGCTCTGGGGGGGTCAAACGGCTCCGTGTGTACGCCCTATATGCCATAGCCCCGCCTCTTCCCACCTCTCCTGCTCACCCCCGTGTCACCCGCGTCATTGCTGATGTGTTTCGCCAACAACAACAACCGAGTGTTTCGAGCCAGGTCCCGGTATCTCGCAGGACAGTGCACCCAGCAGGAGCCTCCAGCTAGATTTGATCGATATGGACATAAACGCGAGTGAAGTCTTATCGGACAGGAGAGAGAGATCAGAGATCAGCTGTTGCTGACGGAGACACGCAGCTCTGCATGATCACCTGCAGCTCCGCCCGCTGTGATGAATTTATTTGAATTACCTCTCAAACTACCTAAACTAGTTATAAATATGTTTATGTTTACTGTCGGGTCAGTCATTACTGGATCAGCCAGCTGCATGAGACGGATACTGACGGGCTGTCAGGAGAGGGGGAGGAAAAGAGACTCCGTTTATTATTCTTATTTTATTATATAGAGTCGTTATCAATTCGTTTTAAAGCTCAATAAATAACAAAGAAGACCGTTGACCGGCACTTTTCTAATTTTGTCCAGAAGATTTAAACTTTAACGGACATGTTGACCGGCAAACAAAACCGAAGGGCAACCAGGCAACCATGGCAACCATGCTTGGGTGGTCTTCTTCGCTGCTTTTGCCACTTACAGGCCCGGCATATGTACTACAGTGTCTCCAGATCGTGTGGACGGACACGTTTATTGAGCCGATTGCGTGTGAACGGAATACTTTTTTAATATTGAATTCGGTTCGGTTCGTTTCCGTCTCTGTATAAATGGGGCCTTAGTTGTACATAAAACGAACCATTAGGTAAAGCTGGATATCTGGCCCCTGCTAAGGCCCTTTAAACATGGTGTTGCATTAACCAGATTTCTACTAATGTGGCCAAAGAATGATTATTACCTGCACAAAATAAAATATGAAACATGTCCAACATGGTCAATCTGTGGAAACCTTTAAATACCTTGGTACAGTTCTGGGCTCTCAGGTGTCTCAACGAATGCTCACAGTGACTTTACCTACTTAGGAAACTTTAATGGCCTTGGTGGTAGTCAGCAGATTTTGAAAGTAGTGTACAAAAACGTTTCAGCTTCCTGCCTGGTACGGTCACCTTAACTGTAGATCTAAGAATAGACTTTCTAGGACTGTGGCAATGGCAAGCAAAACAGTAGGCAAACCCCAAAGCACTTGATTCAATTCTATACAGAAAGGACGAGGAAGAAAGCGAGCATTATCCTGGCAGCTAGCCCCCGTCCACTCTTCAGCCAGTTTGAGCCCTGAACACATAAATAAATGACAAATGAAATAGAAAAGAAATAGAAATGAGATCTTGAGCTCCAAAAGCCGATATAGATTCCTCTCTGGCAACTAAAAATGTATTTATGAAGTCCTTCATCCCAAGTGTCACCATTATTCTCGAGTCAACAAAGTGACAGAGCAGATTCAAGACACAGACATTGATAGAAACTGTATAAATGTGTAACCTTGTCTATGTGTTTGTTTAACTAACTGCTTCCTGGTGAGAAGAAGACCTATTTCAACCAATAAAGATACATTCTTATCTATTCTATATCCAATGGCTTCAAAATTACAAATTATATTTGTAAAACTGTAACTAACCTGTACCATAACAAGAACATGTTAGACATTTCACATGAAGTATTATTTTAAAAGCATGACAAAGGTGTTTGTAATATTGAAAAGACGTCTTTAACAAACATCAAAGATACATTGTATTGCGAACATACATGACTTTCAGAGCAAAGGTATGAAAGGTGTTTAATATTTAGGTACCAACGCAGGGCTGAGATAACAAGGCACCATGCTCTACTGTATATTCAGCGTCCTATCTGTAGTAATATAATGAGCGATATGAATCAGTGCAGGGTTAATTACATACTTTGTAGAGATTAAGTAGAACTCGTGATTCATGATAGCGATCAACGCAAGGATATTAGGATTCTGACTAAAATTAAGGGGTACATCAGTCGATTTCCTAAAAGTGTGCCAAAGCCTCGAGGAGTTCAAGCATCTCCTAACTTTAGGGAGGACTGCCATCTGTTCATTAAGCTTCTATCCATTTCTAGTCATCTTCGCTACTCATAAATCATAGTACTCCTGGTATAATTGTACACTTGTTGAAACCACACATTTGAACACTAAACATCTTCCGTAGCATGGTGGAGAAGAGAGAAACCGGCTAGGAATGACAGAAATGTGAGAAAATATCCAAAAGATGAAAATATTTTTAAAAGTCATTGATCATTTTTAGATAGCTCAACTGACAGTCCGGGAATGTAAAGCAACAAAATGTAACTTTTATTTAAATATGGGGGATACAAATAAAGAGCATTGTCCTCATTACACCTTAAATATTTAGACAAGCAAACAATTGAAACAATATTGCAGGCTTGCCTTGTTTTTACACCCTCAACAACATCTATGTCATTAGCCTAGCAGTTTCACTGGATCCCAAATGTACAAAGTCTTCGCCCCTCCAGTGGGAAACCCCCAGTTTGGCCCTCTAAATCACTACTTCCTGCAAAGATCCACAGGGGTTTGTGTTCACTCGTCAACGAGACAGGCTTTTGAAACCACACATGGATTACAGCCATCAATTAAGCAGGAAGAAAGGCCTTTATCTTGCTACCACTGCTAAATCCAAAATCACCCACCAGCCTTAGAGGGCTTCAAGGGGTCTTTCCAGCGTTGCCTTAATCTCCGTTTAGCTAAGGCTGTTTGCTACACCCACAGTGGGAGATGCTTCTATGGTTTCTCTAATAAGAGCTAGTGATCTTCTAAAAACCAAATTGATTGCACAAGCCGTCTCACGAGCCACGACTGCAAGAGGAACAGACTTCCAGAAGAAGCTCTCCGATCCTATCTTATTTCCCCATTAAGGGGTTTTACTTCAGGTCGGCCGGGACGTTTTGTAGGAGTTGTTTTTGTACAATTTCCACCGTTCAACCCGATACAACACTTCACTGACCTGAGAATCCTAAAAACAACACAGAATGAAATATCGAACAGAAACTTCTGACGAGCTCAAGTTCTTGAAATCCATTCGTCTTAAATTTGTAGGAGGCGTGTGGCGCAGTGTGTTAGTGCGTTGGTGTTCGGATCAAGGGAGCACAGATTCAAACCCCACTGCAGTCAGCATGTCGTTGTGTCCCTGGGCAAGACACTTCACCCCAAAATTGCTCCTGTGGGGATTGTCCACAGTATTGAGTGTGTAAGTCGCTTTGGATAAAAGCGTCTAACAAGTAACAAGTCAT